CCCACCTTACATATACCTAAACCCACCCATCTCCACCCCTAAACCTACCAATCTCCACCCCCTAGATCTGGATCCAACCACGCCCCCTGGATCTTGTGTTCTGCAGTGAGGGGCTAGCCTACTGCATGCTGGCGGCATCTACTGATCAAAACGCTGTAAGTGCAATGAAAACTCAGCCCAAACATTTTACACCTTTTACAAACCAATTGCAAATAGTTTCATGAAAGTGTAATCTAAATGTAATAATTAAATACCATTATGAAGGCTCAGTAAAATTATTTTTTTGTTTTGTTTTGTGTGTTATTAGGCAGGGACAGGCCAATTAGAAGGAAAGAGCATTCTCCTTCCTACTATACTCGCATAGACATATTAAAATTCACTCAAACGCAAAAATGAACCCACATTATAAAACTGACCGTAACATTGAACACTCGTTCATGGGTTCACCAGATCAAAGCCATCTGGCGGCGAACCATCGGAATTTAAAATATTTCTAAACCTACCCTGCGTCCCAATGTGCATACTATCAAAGACTGTAGAATACTAGGGACTTTGATACTATCCACCCTATCTGCCCTAAATAGTATTGAAAATGACTAATATCACATAGAATTAAGGATGGATAGTGTGCACATTGGGATGCAGGCTCAGATTCGAAACAGTACAACGTAACGAAGCCTCGTCTGCTTAAATAACGTGACTTGAGGAGTTCGATACAAGCTCCCAATCACTGATTCGAGAGATTCGTAAACATTTCGAAGCTTTCGACACAAGAAACACTGTCTTCAGGTAACAGCTGCACGGTTTTACTTTTTTTTTTTTTTTTCCTTTTACAATGATTGGATAAGACTGTCAGTTTGACTAAAACGCATGTTAAATTCAGCAGCTCAGTTGTGACTCGGCTATGCTGAGGTCAGTAACCTGCAGCGTGCTGCTGATGAAGCGGACGTGCTCGTTGCCACGGTAACGGGATGCGGGTTTGAGACTGAGAGCGTGCGGATGTAGCGACATCCTACTAACCTACATTTCAACCTGAAAGAGGCAATGGCGGACGACGGAAGGTTTCCCCATTGACATATGATGATCTACTGCGACGAAACGAAACATAAACGGTATGTTTTACAAGAATAACAGACAATGTATTAAATCCGCATCGTGCATGTGGCAGTGATGCTTCTACAGCATGCGGTGTTTTATCGATGTAATATTTTTAGCTGGCTGGAAACCGCATGTAAGCTTTTCATGCTTGGTAATTAAAAGTGTGTAGTTTATCTCGGTAAGTCGCACTGATTTGCGACAGCAGTGCTGTCATACAGCAGCATCTCGTAATGGCGCCCAGATTTCAGGTGAAGGTAAGGGCGCTGCCGAATACAGCACGAACCGGTGCACCGTGCTAACCGGTTTACATTCAAGTCTGTAGGTCAAACCTCAGTCGCGTTTAATTTTTTTTAGCTAAAATCACGTTAAGTCTGTCGTATTGTGAGATGGAGTGACCTATAAGGCCAGGCGACATTGCTGAATGACCGCGTGATGATAAAGAAGCCCATTAAGCTGCTGTAGGTCTTCCTAAAGCATGCGTTTCGATTTTTAAAGTATGGAAAAACGTGTCTAATACAAAGATATGCGGTTAGATTTTAAGAACACATTGCCATTGTATTGGACGGGCCGGTGGTTAACTAATAACTAGCGTGCTAATAATTATAACTAGCCTATTGTATTTGCACTGGAAAATGGTTGTCAGATTCAGTTAATAACTAGAATTTATTTTTCACTGTGGTTTCTAGAGGCTAACTAAATTCATTTTTAACAAGTTTTGTTTGTCTATACTATATGTTTTTTTTTATGGAGATGCAAATTGTGTATGTTTGTGCATGTTTTAGAAAAACAGGTGTCAGATTCATTTGTGGTGCTGTTGCTCAGACAGTCTTCAAACAGACACCACAAATATGTCTATACTGTGCTAGTCTGATGGACAAGGTCATGCTTTAGCTGATGTAGCCTTTCCGGAGCTTCCAATGTCACCCAGCTGTCTGCTTAAATCATCAACATCAGGTCACTATCCATTTTTAAAGAGCATTGCAGGCCAGTAGCAGTGCACCAGAGACAGCTATTTATAAAGGTGTACATGTCTCTCTCAGCAACCAGGCAGCATGGAAATCTAGTCTCATCACTCATTTTATCCACCACTTTCCTCTTTCTTAAAATCAGTGTGCAACAGAGACTTAATTCTTAATAGAGTTCAAAAATTCTGTCCCAAATATGACTTCAGGACCTAAATTTAGGACCCAAATTTATCATAGAAGGGGCTACTGCTTACTATTAGTTATTTATTTATTTAGTCTGT